GAAACCATTGCCAAGATCAGGGGCGGAAATGAAAAAGTAATAACGGTTGTAGGCTGTGGCGGAAACCGCGACAAAGACAAGCGCCCGGTAATGGCCCGCATCGCCACCGAGATGAGTGACCAGGTAATTTTCACCTCCGACAACCCGCGCAACGAAGAGCCCGAAGCCATTTTAGACGATATGATTAAAGGGGTGGAAATGCAAAACCAACAAAAATACCTGAGCATAAGCAACCGCAGGGAAGGCATTAAAACGGCCCTCACCCTGGCACAAGGGGGCGACATAATATTGATTGCCGGAAAAGGGCATGAGAAATACCAGGAAGTTAAGGGCCAACGCTTGCCGTTTGACGACCTGGCCCTGGCCAAAGAATTTTTAAAAATTAAGCAAGGCTGATGTTATACTATTTATTTGAATACCTTCAATCAGCATACGACTTTCCCGGAGCCGGGGTGTTTCAGTTTATCACCTTCCGGGCGGCCATGGCACTTATATTCTCATTGCTCATTTGCCTGGTTTTCGGCAAGAGCCTCATCAATATGCTGCAGCGCCAGCAGGTTGGCGAAAGCATTCGCGATTTAGGCCTTGAGGGCCAGGCAGAAAAAGCAGGAACACCCACCATGGGCGGGCTTATCATTTTGATGGGTATTCTTATTCCGGTATTACTTTTTGCCCGACTGGAGAACATCTACATAATTCTCTTGCTCATTACCACGGTTTGGATGGGCATTGTGGGCTTTGCCGATGACTACATCAAAGTTTTCAAGAAAGATAAAAAAGGCTTACCCGGAAAATTCAAAGTAATAGGCCAGGTAGGTCTGGGCTTAATTGTGGGCGGCATACTGTACTTTAATCAAGACGTAACCATCAAGGAAAGAATTTCTCCGGCCCAAACGGTAGAAAGCCAAAGTGGCGAGCGCCTTCAGCAATTGCCCACCTATGCCCCCGAAGAAAAGTCGCTGAAGACCACCATCCCCTTCATGAAGAACAACGAGTTGGATTATGCCCGGTTGTTCAAATGGCTAGGCGATGGAGTAAAGGACTACGCGTGGTTAATCTTTATTCCCATCGTGATTTTCATTATTACGG